TGATCATTTTGATAGCAGAGGATTTTCTTTCATCTGAACTCTCTGGCAATGACTCTAAGGAATTCCCTACACTGTTGATTTGGCTTTCCAAAACTGACTTGTAACGATTCTGAATATGCCTCTTATGGCCTACAAGGTGTAGGAAGGCTTTCCACTTTCATGATTCAGTGTCTGAAAATATACCTTTGTGAATCTAAGTTTCTTAGATTCTTCTTTTTCCAATACTGTTCCCCTCATAGCATGACTTGATTCTGGCTCATGGGATACGATTTAGCACATTCAGCAAACTCATTTTTGAGATTTGCACTGTGGTCAATGGGTGTGATAAACCAGCCCATTCCCTGTAAAGATATTAGAGGGATGAATGTTCTGCAGATTGGATATTTTGCTTGTTAAAACTTTTAGTTTAGTTCATTTTATAACTTTGATCCCAGATGGGCATTTACAAGTATACCATTTATATATATGCCTTAAAACACTAATCTAATATCTTCCTTCTCCCAGCAAATGAATTATTTATAATTCTTTTCATAAGGCAATAATCAGCCAAAGAGCTTTCTTAAAGGTGGCAAAACCAAAAAGCAAATTAGTTTTACTATTTCAAAGAATTAGCTGACTATTCATTTATTATAATGTTTTCAGGCTACTTTAGAACTCTCAAAGGAAGAATAATGGTTCAATGTAGTGCTATAAGTTTTCTTTTATGGACAGAGAAAGCCATTTAATCTTGACACACTCAATTGTTTTTGATTTTCTGCCATGGATATCCATCACAAAACTAGTACTTGTGATTAATAGCATTTTGTTCACTAACCAAAAGCATTTATAAAGTGTACCTAGAAAACATTACAAAATAGAGGATAACATTAAAGTTTAATAAAAGTTTAACAACTGAAAAATCAATATCAATTGGGGAGAAAGAGCTACAAATGTACTTTTAGGAGAGATAGAAAATAAATTTTAAATTTTAGATTTGCATTTTTTCCCCATTTTAACATGAAAGCTATACCAGGAATTTCCTTATTAATGTATATGTTCAAAGAATTTTTAAAGATTCTCTTAGATTAATTAGATCATTGTAAGTGTTTTCTTATTTAAAAAGACCCCTATCAACCCATTACTTTCTGCCATCAACTAAAAATTTTAGAATGTGGGTAACAGCAATGCATACAGAGTACTATAGATTTAGAAAAATAGTGAATCCAAAAATAGATTGTGTTTTTGTAATTACAGTCACATATCATCCCATTTATAGACCTGATAAGATCAAAGCAAAACTGAAAAAGAGGGGTGATGTGCTAAAATGGCCCTAAAGCAGGCTTGCAAACAAATTAGCTCTTGGGAACATTCTTGCAAAAATTATCAGCCTAGAAAAAATTGCCATATGGGCATATGTGAAAAGGCTAAACAAAATGGAAATATTGCTGTATATACAGCCTATATCTATTCATTAATTCAATTTTGCACTTATTTATTCAGGCAGCAAATATTTACTGAGTTTCAGTAACACATTTCAGTAACACGGGAAGACTAGCAAATTTGGCTTAAGCAAATAAAAAGAACCTCTGTCCTTAAAGAGGAAAAGAGAATTAACATTTGTTGAAGGAAAACTCTATGTATGGCCGGCACTTTATGTACCTTATATCAATTCTGTGCAGAGGACATTTTTTTTTTTTTTTATGATTCCTCCCTTTATATGTGAGGAAGCTGAGTCTCACAGGCTTAAATAGGTCATGCAAATAGTAAGTGGCATCATTAGACTTCTAAACCCACCTGGTCTCCAAAAGTCCACTAGCCTATGGTGCCGGTAATCTAGCAGGAAAGGCAGAAACAGACACAATTATCCATAATACAGATCAGAGACTGTGATAAATACTGTGAGGGAGGTCATTGGGAGCATCAGGAAGAGAGCTGTCCAGCCTGCAGTCTCCAGTTTATCTCTGGGAAGGCTTCACAGAGAAGCTGGCATTTGAGGTTGCTTTTAAGGGTAACTTTGTAGCAACATGAAAATCTGTTGCAGATTGAAGAAACAATTTATAGTTCCACAGGGCTGGAAACACTGTTTCTCATTGTTCAGGCTTGTATTCATACAGTTTTGAATTTTAGAATACCTGGCAGCATGCCTGAACAATGCCGTGGCCAGAGATCATCACAATACAATGAGTCTCATGGGCTTTGGAGTTAGGATACAGACTTTGAATCTAGGCTCTACTGCTTATTGATTGTGGAATCTTTGGAAAATTAAGCCTTGTTTGATTAAATGGGGATAATCATATGAAGGTATTCTAAAGAGGATATGTCTTGATACCTGTAAACTGCTTAGCTTAGTGTCATGCAAGGACTAAATTAGCTGTTATGAATACACCACAATAATATCTGAGGATAGCTATAAGAGCACTGTTTCTGCTGGGTTCTCTTGGTTGCCTTTTTTTCTTTTTAAAGATGTGTTTATTTATTTATACATACAAGAGCTGGGGTACAGGCCAGAGATGTGGGGGGTGAGAGGATTCACCAGAGACAGAGCGGGGAGCAGAACAGGTAGACTGACTGAAATACACAGCTGAGGGGAGCAGTGGGTGAGCAGGAGAGGTCTGCTTTGCCATGTGGGTTGCTCCCTGGCAGCTGGGGATCGAACTTGTGCTGCAGAGGATTGCTTCACAGTGTGGTGCTTAACCCCTTGTGCCACCAGGGAGGCCCTCTCTTGGTTGCCTTTTAACTATGACACTATTTGACTACAACTTCATTGTGCAGTACCAAGCTCCCCTATATATTCATGAGGCCCAGTTTCAGTAACATTTTCTTTCCTGCTGACTTGCTCCTTTGTTAGTTTTCTAGATATTAGAATAATCTTTGTTATTGCATTGCAGGTTCCCCTTGAACTTAATGTATAATTAAGATACCACAGAATTGTGTGTGGGTTTAGATTTCGCAAAAATATATTTTATCCATTGACCACTTTGGTAGTAGCAAATATGGGAAAAGGTGGATGGTGTGCTCTAGTCTAATGGTTGAGAACCAAAGATATGGAGTAGAATACACTGGGGATGGGGCAGGGCTGCAGGTGATAAGGGAGAGTGGTAGGAAGTTAGGTTATGGTCAGATTGGAAAGGAACTTGAACGCCATACTGAAGGGTATGGTCTTGACCCTGCAAAAATGGAAACCATGGGAAAGTGAAAGTAGGTGTATGGACTGAATTGTGTCCTCTAAAATTCCCATGTTGAAGCCCCCAGTGTGACTGTATTTGGAGGTAGGACCTTTAGGAGTTAATTAAGGATAAATAAGGTCATAAAGAAGGGGTCATCTTCTATAGGACTGGTGTCGATTTAGGAGGAAGAGGCACTAGAGAGCTCTCCCTCTGCCACGTGAGGATGCAGTGAGATGACAGCTGTTCACAAGCCAGGAAGGGAGGCTTTATCAGAAACCAACCTCATGGTAGCATGATCTTGGACTTCTAGCCTCTATGAGAAAATACATTTCTGTTGCTTGAGCCTCCCAGTCTGTGGTATTTTGTTATGACATCCCTAGCAGACTAATAAAGGATAGTATAATCGGATTTGGGTTTTTGGAAGAGATCCTGCAGCGTGGAGGGTGTTTTACATATTCTTTGGCATTTCTGTAGGTTCTTCCAAAATCACCTCCTTTGGGAAGATTTTTTGATTCCTTAAATTTAATTCTAATGTCTTTCCATAGGTTCCCATAGTATTGTCTACATACATCTATCATGATTTCATGTGAAAAATACATATTTATATAAATCTTAACTTTGATGGCTTCCTCCAACAGATTGTAAGCTCCTTGAGAACAAGGACCACATTTTATCTGCATTCCCATTATTTAGTGTGGTACTTGGCACAAATCAGATTCTCCATACATATCCTATCTGTGGAATTAAGTGATTAATATGTTAATAGAAAGCCTGAGAAAAGGAAACCAGTTCTAAAGCTCCTACTATAATAGTCCATTAGCAGAGCATCTACCTGTAACTCATCTTGTCTTATTGTTTGACAAAAGATGATGAAAATTGACAAAGTTTGCTTTTACTTTTTACCTTTTATGTTTAATCCCTTCCTAAAATGAAATTAAATGAAACAAACTCCTTGAAGAAGCAACTTTTAATGATTTTTACCACACTGAAAATTAGACTCCCTCCAGCCATTAAGTGCTGGTATAAACATATAGTGTTTAATATCCTAAAAACAGAAGAAAATGCTGACTAACTGTTTCTAATTACCTAATTTGTTTGGAGGAAATCACCAACAGTCCACAAAATGAATTACTGTGCTCAGCAAACTCAAATGCATTGTTGTGTAATTTATGTAGAATTCCCGATAAGAGTTTCAGAGTTTGCCAATATGTCCAATAATTTAGGACATTAGGCCAAAACAAATCCTCTGCCTTTGCTTTTATTGTATAGGAAGACTTACAGGAATGGAATTTATCCATTAACCAAATAAACTGTTTCTATAAATCACTCTATTAATTGGTGAGTTAAAGGCTGTGCCTGCATCATGAGACACAAACAAGGAATATCGCCAAAAAGAGACGTGTTCTGTTGATTTGACACCACCGATGTGTTTAACCTCAACTTTTAGTCAGAATGGTTTTAGATAACAGACCATTCCTCAGATCATTTAATCTTGGGCTATTAAGATAGTCAAATCCATTGGATTTTTCCTGTTCTTACAATGTTTCTCTTGTTAGAGCACTGTATTTGGTTTGGGATCTTTCTGGATGGGAAGTGGGTGAGTCCATCTTTCTCCATTTCCTTTGAATTTTGTTGTTCCTCTATATGCTTCTGCTTTCTCAGAGAATGAGAAGAGCCAAACTTTAAAAGAATTTCTTAATCTTCAGTTAGAATTCTCAGAGTTTCCAGTTGCTCAAGCTGACGCACAAGAATATATGTGTGTGTATGTACATGTATATGTATTTTAAAAATAATAATTGGGGTTATTTAGAAAATTTAGTGAAAATCAGATGACATTCTGAAATACTGGCCTACCTTCTGGAGATATTTTTCTTTTTCCTCAGATTCCTGAATCTTTAGGATTTCAGCATTGAATTTACTCTCTAAAGGAAATAAGACAATTTGAAATAATTATATCATGTTTTACAGTAATTTGATATAAAATTGGATAAAAGTCAGAAATCAATACATAAATTAGTAGGAAGGCAAACATATATGTACTGTCTTGAAACTTCATAATTCAGATTCATAAATAGAGACAATGAAGTAAGTATGTCTGCAAGAACTTCTACTCACTTTAGAAGGTGAGTGAGCCTGAGCCTCTTAAGATAACATATTTGTATGGTCAGAAATTCTAATTTCTTGATTGCTATTCAATGTGTTATAGGAATTAGGGCACTTTCCTCTAGATAAATAGGGCAGGGTATGGATATACAATTCAGAAAGTTATGCCAAAGTGTAAAGTTGCATACTTACATTTAATACCTATTTTCTGAAGACCCTGGGAATCAGGATGTTGAAAGGCTTAAAAATTGGTACTCACCATCTTTCGTAAGGATAAATGACTTCATGTAAATATTCTCTAAAAAATACAAAAGGGAAGTAAAGAAATCATTGGAAAAACCACAGCATTTAAAGTATTTTCTATAACAATACAAATTGCTTAATAACAGTTTTCATATCTTGGGTCTTACTAGTTCTTACAGGTCAGGGAACTTAGCTCCTAATGCTGAGGCTGGCTTTCTCCACTGTTTCTTTTTAACTGTTATGTCAACTACCAACCTTAATATCCTTTCAGCCAACATATAACAGTTCATGAATACTTTACGCTGTTTAAACAAATAGATGTCATAACCTAGTGGCTATTTTTAGATGTAACCAATACCCACTGATCCTTGTCAGGGGGCAGTGTTGCTGAGGCTTAAAGAACTACTATATAGGGTTTAAGATGCTTGAAATGAGAGGTTCCTATTTTAGAATTAGGTTCGGCAGTTCCTCTGGGGAGGGACTCTGCTATCTTCCAGGTCATTTGTGGTGGAGAGAGAAATCTTCCATAGGAGGCAGCTACTCACCAGGCGAAATCCTCTTTGAGGACCCCGCCACTGGCAGACGCTGAGAGCTACCCCTGGACAAAACCAGTTGAGATTCGTTGGGCGGATACATGGATGCCGCCACCCAAAACTGCTTGGCCAAGTTGGTGTCCTCATCCGAAGAGCCAGCGAACACCAGTAATCCCTGAGGGCAAATTTCATCAGCGTCTTTTTGGTTAAGACCTTCGCTCGGACTTGATTCCATGGCAACTCAGGACGCTTCTCCAGACTCTCCTCTCCGGCCAGCCCCGCCCCTTGGAGAACCGCCAAGGTAGCAACCACCGACGGAAGCGCTTCAGTTTCTTCCGCAGGTGTTAAGGTGCAGCGCGCGGTTGTAGGGTTGTAGGCCTTCAGACTTCGGGGGGACCAGTCCAAGCCTTGGAGTCGAGATAAGATCAAAATATCAACTTTGCAACGTGTTCAGTCCTGATGGAGTCGGTGGCAGGGAGCCCTAGCTATTCTTTAGTGTTCTCCCCTGGTCCCCACCGATTTCTTCCCCCAGGCCCCCAGATATCTAAATAAAAATTTTAATTCCTTAGCCTCACTGCCCCAACCCGCCCACTCCCATACTACGTTGCCTAGCTCAGTCCACCATACATGGAACTTCTGGAACTGCATGGTTGGAGAAATCAACGGGGCAGCTAACATCCTAGCCTATGGGAAACACAGGCCTGCTGGGGGGGGGGCATAGGTACCCGCGCTATAGTTTTATACACTACTCCCCCCTCCCCCCCAATCTTTTAGAGCAAATCTTACAAATAAGCTGGGTTTAGATGGTAACTGTATTTACGAGGCAGTCCCTGGTCTGCCTACACTGCAACAGCTCTGATTATTTAAAAGGTAGGTATCCCATGAGTGAACTCAGTTCCTTCAGAAAAAATTATAAAACAGCTTGTTAATGTAGCCTTATAAGAATATAGCAAGTGGGTGTGTGAAAAGCTTCCCATGGAGGTTTTGTTAATCTAGGAACAATTCAACCATTTCAGGGACCAGAAAGATGGAATTACTGTGGCGGGAATTGAAACGGACATCCTAAAGCTATCTTCCGAAAGAAACACATGGCAATAAGCACAATGTATGTCCTGTGGCACTTTATTTTCTCAAAATATTAACAATACACTCTCACAGAAAGATAGCTCAAAATTGACCATCACAGATCTGTACATCATCATATATCACGGAAGGGAAAAAAAAATCATTTGCCCCAATAGACCTTAAATTTTAGGGGCTAAGACCCAGAAGGAATATTGAGAAGTTATAAAAATCTTCACATTACAAATGTATATATTTGCTAAAATAACTGATCTCTTGGCTGAGTTGTTGATAAATAAGCAGTGGGTAGCATTCACTATTCAAATGCCCCTTCCACTCCCCCCAACACTTTGATGGAAACATGAAGCTCATTTGGATGAATCCCCAAATCTTTTTACCTGGCCGTGTGGTTAGTGATTGGTACTGTTAGCAATCAGCTAACTACACTGCCTAGTAACCAGACTCACAGGAGAAGGGCCTTTCTCTCAGCACAAACTGCAGTCTCAAGCTGGTGCCCCATAAACAGTGAGGGCAGGTGTCCTCAGGTGGTGGGTTGGTGCATACCCTACTGAATAATGAAACATTGGCAAAAGGAATCACAGCATACTTCAGTCAGCGCTCCTTAGCGGGCTCCTCCCAGCAATTTACACGTCTAGGTTACAGTGAAAACCATTAAGCGCCACAGATTTCAGTCTCCATACATGTGAGTGTACCCTCTTGCTCCCCCCGCCCCCCGCCCCCCGCCCCGGAGAGAAGGAGCTAACAGTCTATAGAGAGGGAGCTAACAGCCCATCTAGCAGCAGCAGCGGGAGCTAACAGTCCATCTAGCAGCAGCAGCTGCTGCTGTTTCCAGGGTTTCACTCGCCCTTGGACGACGAGCAGCCAGAGCTCTTGCGTCCCCGGACAGATGCTGACCCAGCAAATTTCGGGGCGCGCTTTTCTCCCCCCAAACGCTTGCGGTCGGCCGTTTGCCGCCAGGGGTGGCGCCTTCCCGGCGGGGCGACGGGTGATGCTGTGCCTTGTTTTGATGGCAGTGGAGTTAGTGATTGCAAGCAGCAGAGTACAATCAGCTAATTACACTGCCTACAAACCGAGCACCGGGCGCCGGCTGGCTGCAGCGATCCGACGGTCCGCAGCGCCGACGCGGGGTTCCTCTACCCCACATTTCACTCCAGGCGACGCCGGACGGTGCTGTGCAAGAAGCTCAGGGCGAGGGTCCCTGGAGGACGTCCCGGGATCCATCGGGCAACCCCCCTCGCCCGGCCCGCGGGCTGCACGGCCCCCACCTCGCCGGGTCCTGACCGGTCGTCTACCCTCGGTGTGGCACGGCCAGGGGGCGGCGCTCCGGAGGGGGCCTGCACCCTAAGGCCGCGCCCTCCCCCCATTTAGGCGACTTTCAGATGCGCTCTGCCGGCTGGCTTTACCTTGGCCACCTAGACCCTGAACCCATCCTACCCTGCCCCGTGTGCCCAGCACCTTTCAGGGCGCACCCCATTAAGTTCCTTTCTCCGGCTTGACGCCCAACCCCTTGCTCCCGACCCGGCCCAGCAACTTCTTTTCAGTTCCCAGCCCAAACCCTGGAGCCGGCTTTCAACCGCGTGCGCCCCGCAGCGCAGCTCCGAGTGACCGTGGCCCTGGCAGGCCAACCGCCCTTGGAACCGCGCGGGCAGAGGGGGCGGGGCGGGGCGGGCACGAGATGGGGAGGGGTGGGGGAGGGCGGGGGGTGCGCGGGGAGCCGGTGAGAAGGGGCAGAACGCGGGCCCCACTAGGAAAGAGGTCCGGGAGACCAGGCACGGATTCTTGAGAAGTTTCTCTTCCTGATGGAGCAGGAGGGACAAATAGCTGCTTCCCTCCGCCCTCCCCAAGAAACCCCACAAACCCACCCAGTTTTCATGCCCATCTTTATCAGGGAAAACAATTTGCCAGGACTAAAAAATGCTAGGCTTGAGTTTTTCAACTGGTGACAGTCCTAAGTAGCCTGGGGCTTGGGTCCCATTCTGCACCCTTTGGTTACCCTTGAGCTCCCCTTATACTCTTGGGAAGAGGGAGCGGCTACATCTCCATAGACTACATCTTCCTGGTCATGGGGTGGCCCAGCCAGCTATTTAAATTAAGGTGAGATCAAGGCCTGCTATATATTCTCAAGGTCAGATTTAGGCAAAATCCCTACTTCCAGCACACACTTATTTAAATATCTGCTACATGCTCAGCACTTAAGGCCATTCATTCTTCTCCATATGTATGACCTAGGGATATCACTCAAGACAGTATATAATAAATCACTAAGCTGGGTAGAAGTAGAAGGGGGAAGCAGAAGGGGTAGAAATAGACTGTAATGGTCAGGGAAGTTTCATATAGGAGGGGATACTTGAGTAGGTCCTTGAAGCAAGACTAAACATGGAGATTCAGGGTGCGTGGAGGCTAGAGAAACAATGTCTTGTGACCAGTTGCATTTTGTTATTCACAGAATTTCACATCTGATGATGTAGATGTGTTGATGTATTTTGGGTAGACTGGGCAGAGGATTTCTGGGAGAGATCTAGGAAGTCTTTCCTTACTCCTTCTCCTCTTTTCCTTCAATGGGTGAATCAGGAGAGGATAAAGAATATTGTCTGATCCAACTCTCTCCTGTTGATTTTTTCCCTGATCCCTTATATGGATCCTCTATGTTCCTCCTATACGTGAAACCATTCAGTGTTTTTCTTAGCAGGGGTGGGAAGAGCACAAGGAACTATGGCGATTGTACATGGGTGAATTGGTGGGAATTTCATGGGGACTATACCTGAGATGATAAAGCATACATTGAATAAAAATGAAGAATGATGTTAAAAAATATATATCTCAGAATATTGTCTGATTATACACTCTGTGGAGCTTAATTGGAAGTCCCCCCCCTACCCTCATACCCATGTGGTGGTCATGTACCCAGTATAGAGCATTCGCTGTTAACTCCAAAGATTTAGTTCTAAATTATTTTCCACAAGGGAAAACTTCCAGCTATAGACTGGTTCCCTAGACCCAGCAAATGGTCTGGTGGATGTCACTAGGGACATAGATGGTGGCAGAAAATCTGGATCATTCAACCCAAGTTCCAAACTCACACTGGTAAAATACCAGAAGAATAGGGAGTGATCTTTAAATTTGATTGACAGCACATTTTTTTTTTGTTTTTGCCAAATGCAAAAAAAAGAGTGAGAAACCAAAATGAAGTATAGCATATAATAATACAAATATCACTCATTGTGAAAATTAACATGTGAAGTTGCAAAAGACAGATCACTTATTACTAAACATCATTTGCATTCATCTTATCTTGGGAAAGGCACAGCGTTATAGAGCACATTTCATAAATCACTCAACACTCCTGTACCGTACAATATTCTAAGTCTACCAGGCAACACCCTGAAATCAGAGCTAGTCAAATTCTAAACCATCTGTAGATAACTGTAGAGCTAAATTTTGTGTTTTATACTTTAATATACATTTATAAATAAAATCAGGAGTGAAATAGCTTCCATTCCATTAACAATTATCAGTCTTGGCTAGGATACAGTTATAAAAACAATTCTGTTCTTTCAAATGGTTAATCATTTTTACCCAATACAGTATTTAATACTAATTCCTGATTGATTTTTAGGGGTATTAGTTGCATCTTACATGTCTTACCTGAGCTGGATCACTGCCATCCAAGGCAATGGTTGCAGTAGATGAAAAAAATATATATTGAAATATATATATATATTTAAAGTTTTTCTTCTAAGATAATAAAAAATAAAATTAATTTGTAAAAGTTATTAATATACATTGCTCACTGAAATACTTTTTTAATGCAGCTTTTTTTTTGGTACGTTGTACAACTAAAAAGGTAATGACCGAAAAATGTGTGTGGCCTAGTTTTGTTTAAAAAGAAAATGCTAGTTCTTAGGGTTGCTGTTGATTTGACCTGCAGTTACTAGAGAGACTCCAAGGATCTTATTCCCTTTATGGCTCATGTCTAGGCATGCCCAGAGACCAGGGAGACCCATGATTTAATCTAAGTAAGAATGCTTGTGGTGTTTTAAATGCCCAAATAGAAGACTGCATTTGTTTTAGACAGTACCAGGAAGGTACCTTTCAGGGCAACTATTTACTGTTTTTATTTAATTTCTGGACTTTTGGTGATTAGGGAGGTGGGGAAGGAGGCCTGAGTGCAGGTGAGATTGGCGATTAGAAGGAGCCCAAGAAGAATATAGAAAGCAATTAACTATGGCAAATTGATATTTGGTTAAATTTGCCAGACCTCTGTAAAGGGCTGTATGATGGAAGTTGGGGATTACAAAAGATGGAGATAATTTATTCTCTCGCCTTTCAACACAGGCAAACACATCATCTGAACTTTTTCTCTCTTTCATAGCTTTTGAAAGATGTTGGGGAGGAAGACATGAAGAATCAGACTGATTAAAAATGATTAAATGATTGCAGTTTAGCAGCTTATTTTTAAACTTGTTTTGAAAATGCATATTATTCTCTTGAGAAATATAAGGCACGTTTTAATTTTTATAGAGATCAATAAATGTCAGATTACCTTATTAACATTCATGATACTATACTTAGGGACAATTTTTATGTTGAAGTAGGATGAGATTGAAGTCAATTTAATGCCTTTGAGGAACTAAAAATCAATGGATGTTTAATTATGAGAGGGAACTTTCTTTCTAGTTAAAATGAACTGCCATAAGTTTCAATAATTTCATATTTCAGATTCCATTTTCATTGTTCCCTGATTAGTAAGAGTGCACCAGAATAGTAGTTTCATGTTTGTATTTATTGATTGGTCAATACTGTTGTTTCTTTCAATATGAAAATGCTAAATTAATTTATCTTTTAGTAAATCAGACATTCAGAACATTAGGCTTTATAATTAGTGTTGATTGAGCTCTTGGCTGTGGCTTCAGCAGTAGGCACAAACATGTTGCCTATTTAGAAAACATAGTCTAGGGATATATTGTTGGAGAGACAGACAATTTGTATGCATAGATAATTATGATAGTTATAGTGTTGTAGAGCAACCCCGATACAAAACGGGGTGCCTAACTGTGGGTCCTCACCCGCGCGCTTAAAAGGACTTATCAATGCTCTACTGCAGGCACACGTGAAAGGTTAATAAAAGGTTTATTTACAAGGGAAGGGGAAATGAGGAAATGTACAGCTCTGGGAGAAAAGTGGGAGACAAAGTTTTAAATGAGTCCTATCCAATCTGCCTATCAGGAATCCCAAAATGGCGCTCTCAGAGTTGGCCGCCAGCCAGGAGCGGTGAAGCCAGGAGGCGAGCGAGCACGAGCCAGAGACCCCAAGGCCCACGTGTTTGGTTTTTATATCCAACCTGGCTGCCCAACTCCACCCTCAGGTCCCAGCCACCCTCCCTTGGTGGTGATGGGATTTGTCTTTCCCAATGTCTTGATGGCTTTAGTCTGGAGAGGGAGTGGGGTCCACAAAGCCTGTATGGGATTAACTCAGGCCATCATTTCCCCCTAACAATAGTAATACCAATATATACAGTATAATAATTTACTTATATATGATTACATAAAGTACGAGGATGGTTAGATTAATAGGTGCTTCAAGAATTCTGAATACTAATGTACTCTTTATTATTGTCAGCATTTAGGGTACAGAAAAAGTAAAACTATTGAAGGTTGGGACACAGAGAAGTCTCTAAGGAAAATGTGGATTCACCTAGAAAGAAAAGTAGGACATAGATAAAAGGAAGAAGGAGAGCGGACATTCTTGGTGGCAGGATCAACTTGTAAAGGAAACATGAAAACAAATTCATTGAGACTGTAATATACACAGCCAGCGGGAGAGCAGTGAATGTGTCCTTATTGTGGAGCTTCCATTAGAGAGGCTGGGGAGTAGGAGATAGATCATGGAGGCCTTTAGATGTTGGGCTGGATGTTAGGACTTCATCTCATTCTTCTAACTGAGGGACCTTTGATTTTATATAATATTTTGTGTTATGGAGAATAATAAAGTGGCAAAGACTAGAAGAGGGAGAGATAGAAGATATTGAAAGTGCATTTAAGAGATAAGTAGGCTAGGTATGAAGCAATAAAGAAAATATGGTTATGAATGAGAGAGATTTCATGAAGGAAACTTTACAGGATATGATGTCTGACTAAAGTGTAGAGAGAAAGACCATGATTAACCTTCAGGTTTCAATGACAAATAGAGATGTCGGGAGGTCCATCTAGCTGGAGACTGATTGTGATGTATTTTGGTTAAGGCATTGTTCGTTTTAGGTGATGGAAGGACACTGGGGTGGAGTTAAATATGTAGAGCTGAAACTATTGAGAAGTCAGACTGAAAGGAGAGGTTTGGTAGGGTCTGGAGCTGTAAGAGTTGAAATCACTAGGATAAATGAGATCTTTCAGAGAAGGATGTTGTCTTTATATCATTGACCATCCAGCACTAGAGTAGGTGACTAGAAGAAATGAATAGTTGCTGAATAGTTCTTGAATAGAGACTGGAAT